CTGAGGAGACACACCTGCACTGACCTAGGAGAGCTGCGCCGTTACCTTGGCTTGCAGATCTCCAGGGACAGAGCAGCGCGCACCATCACTCTTACACAGTCACACTTGGTGCGCCAGTCTTCAGTTCTCCTCTGCATAGCCCACACCTCTGCCAGTAGACCATAGGCTCTTAGCTCCAGTTCCCGAGGAGTCAGCAGAGCCCATTGGTCCTTACGCAAAGCCGGTGGGTTGCCTCATGTACCTGATGACTTGCACTCGTCCAGATCTCACATACCCTCTCACCATTCTTGCTCGCTTTGTGGCCACCGGCAGACACCGACCATAGCACTGGTCGGTCGCTAAGAGGGTTTTGTGTTATCTTACAAGTACATCGGGCATGGGGCTAGTGATGGGAGGACGTAGGCCAGTGGTCCTTACTGTGCACACAGACGCTTCTTGGGCTGACGGCGCGGAGACCCTCAAGTCTTCCGAGGGCTACTGCTTTAGCCTTGGTTCTTGTGCCATCTCGTGGAGAGCCACTTGCTCCTCGTCTGTTGCCCAGTCGAGCTGTGAGGCTCAGATCTACGTTGGTGGCATGGCGGCACAGGAGCTCCGCTGGCTGACCTTCTTGCTCGCCGACTTAGGTGAGTGGCCTAGCTCTGCCCCGGTCCTGTACGCTGACAACAGGGCCATGATCCTCCTGTGTTAGGAGCCTCGACTTGAGGGCAGAGCGAAGCACATCCAGCTGCGGTACTTCCTCCTGCGCGAGCTACAGGAGCGTCGCCAGGCCCGCGTAGTACACTTGGCCTCCGGTGCCAACACAGTTGATATCTTTGCTAAGGCGCTTGCGCCTAAAGATCATCAGCGGCACTGCTTGCAGCTAGATCTAGTTCCTGTAGACTCTCACTTGCTAGGACCTTGATGGTGTACTCCTCTATATTTATGCCTTTCTGACTGTCCTTGTGGCAACACTTCTAGTGGTCGGACTAGTAGTGCCGCCCTGGTTTGCTCTTGTCTTGTTTGTACCCTTGCTAACTGGTCTTTGGACCCCTGCCTCAGAGTTTGGACTAGTTGTGCCACCGTGAGCTGTGTGTCTCTTACTCTGCACTACCCCTTATCTAGCCTATGGGGTGTGTCAACTTATACATATGTTGCTATGTAGAAGTTATAGGCTAGATATTTGTACATTGTTAGAGGGTACAAGCAGAACGCATATATCCCCCTTGTTCCACTTGTATTCTATCGATTATTCTAGCTGACACCTCAGACACATTTTCTTCGAGTGCGGTGTTGCGATACCAATTACCGTAGCTCTCCAGCGCGTCGCTTCTCGCCAGCTTAGAGTCCGCATCTCCCCGGTACAATCCCTTTTCCCCCTCCACACCAGGGCCGGGCAATCAGCCCCATGGAGCCTGCTAGTGGGAGCAGCCGCCAAGACCATTTGGAACGCCCGCTGCAATCGCAAGTTTAACGAGATCACGACCCACATGCTCGAAGGTCTCCACGCTGTCCTCACAGCCTTCCTACTCTCCTGCAAAATTTTCATCTGGCGGTCTACCACACAGTCCAGGAAAGAACAGCTCCGATCTGCCCACCGAATAAAGCGCGCCAAACAACTTCGCCTCCTCCTCCTACCGATCGAGTTCTCCCCTTCCATCCATCATGATCTTCGTAAATCCTAGCTCCTCAACGAAGCCTTCCGCCCACCCTAATTCCCCCTCCCCTTGCGCCTGCTCTATACACAAGTCAATGCAGAACGGATGGCATTCTCCCGCCTCCGCTATACCTTAGTTTAGAAGGATAACGTGTGTCCACGTGCTCCCTATAGGGTGCTGGCTTATTGCCATTTCCTTTTATGCTTTGTTTTGTAACAGTTACGACTGAAATATATCCTTAAAACCACATGCTAAAATAGCAAAGGGGGGCTTCAAGTGAGACCCTCTTGAAGGGGGGGCACTTCTGAAAAAAAGGGGTCCCAGTGCGAAACAGCCTGGGCAGTTTTGGGGCAGCTGGGCAGATACGCACCCTCAAATTTGCGCACCTACGGATGGTTGGGTTGGGTGAAACGTCGAAAGGGAACGTGTGCGACCAATGCCCCAAAGCCATGCGCGACAAACCCGATTTCCCGCCCAAATGACGAGACAGAAGTGAAGCCGAAACAGGGGCGTGATTACGTGGGGAAGTGCAGCATACCTCAGATCACGAAAATGGAGGAACCCGAGCAAGTGACGAAACGGAGAATACAAAGATGCTGAGACCGGAGGTTGGTTCACAAATTGTGAACACGCTCTATCCTTGACTTCGACGTGGTCTCAAATTGCACACATTGAAACATGCATATTATACAACGTAACAGATAACACGATGAAAAACCACATTACAAAACCAACATATCTTCGGACATCTTATCAATCACATGCTTGAAAATACAATAGATTTGGTACACTGCAGGAGAAAGGCCCATCACATATTGTAATAAAGAATGGGTATAAATAAGTCTCCCGAGTATCTAACCAGCCAAAACACAAACTTGGCCACACGTGCTAATTTTTTAGCGATTGGCAATGTGAACAAAAGAATCTGCTGTTCAATGGAAGAGCAGAGCACCTGAGCAAGGGGTTGAGTGACAAGATTGAGAGGGGAAACTAGTTGGGAGAGGGGGAGAAGAGATGAGGGTACGGCATGGGAAACAGAGAGCATGGGAGGGCGAATGGGGGAAACAGAGAGCATGGGAGGGGGAAAGGGGGAAACGGAGAGCATGGGAGGGGGAAAAGGGGAACCGGTGAGCACAGCACGGGGAAAGGGGAGAATAGAGAGCATGGGAGGGGAAAAAGGCGAAACAGAGAGCATGGGAGGGGGAAAGGGGGAAACAGAGAGCATGGGAGGGGGAAAGGGGGAACCGGTAAGCACGGCACGGGGAAAGGGGGGAACAGAGAGCATGGGAGGGGAAAAGGGGGAAACGGAGAGCATGGGAGGGGGAAAGGGGGAAACGGAGAGCATGGGATGGGGAACGGGGGAACCGGTGAGCACGACACGGGGAAAGGGGAGAACCGAGAGCATGGGAGGGGAAAAGGGGGAAACAGAGAGCATGGGAGGGGGAAAGGGGGGAACAGAGATCATGGGAGGGGGAAAGGGGGAAAGAGAGAGCATGGGAGGGGGAAAGAGGGAACCGGTGAGCATAGCACGGGGAAAGGGGGGAACAGAGAGCATGGGAGGGGAAAAAGGGGAAACAGAGAGCATGGGAGGGGGAAAGGGGGAAACAGAGAGCATGGGATGGGGAACGGGGGAACCGGTGAGCACGGCACGGGGAAAGGGGGGAACAGAGAGCATGGGAGGGGAAAAGGGGGAAACAGAGAGCATGGGAGGGGGAAAGGGGGGAACAGAGATCATAGGAGGGGGAAAGGGGGAAATAGAGAGCATGGGAGGGGGAAAGGGGGAACCGGTGAGTATAGCACGGGGAAAGGGGGGAACAGAGAGCATGGGAGGGGAAAAAGGGGAAACAGAGAGCATGGGAGGGGGAAAGGGGGAAACAGAGAGCATGGGATGGGGAACGGGGGAACCGGTGCGCACGGCACGGGGAAAGGGGGGAACAGAGAGCATGGGAGGGGGAAAAGGGGAAACAGAGCGCATGGGAGGGGGAAAAGGGGAAACAGAGAGCATGGGAGGGGGGATCTCCACGTTGCTACCTCCGAGCCCCCCTTTACCCATCCTTAACCCCCAGTCCTCCCTTTCTCCAACCATTCCTACCCACTCCCGCCCCCTATCTCCCTGCATTCCCCATTTCCCTGCCCCCTATATCCCTGCCTTCCCCATTTCCCTTCCCCCTATCTCCCTGCCTTCCCCATTTCCCTGCTCCCTATCTCCCTGCCTTCCCCATTTCCCTGCCCCCTATCTCCCTGCCTTTCCCATTTCCCTGCCCCCTATCTCCCTCCCTTCCCCATATCTCCCCTCATTCCGCTTCCCCCTCATTCCGCTCGCTCTCCCCCTTATTCCGCTCGCTCTCCCGCTCACTCCGCTTGCTCTCGCCGTCATTCCGCTCGCTCTCCCCTTCACTCTGCTCGCTATCCCGCTCATTCCGATCGCCTTTCCCTATCATTCCGCTAGCTCTCCCCTTCATTCCGCTCGCTCCCCCCCTCATTCCGCTCGCTCTCCCCCTCACTTCGCTCGCTCTCCCCGTCATTCCGCTCGCTCTCCCCCTCATTCCGCTCGCCTCTTTCCTCTGACAGCGCTCCCATTCCCCCCATCACGTCCACCCATGCATGTTTCCCCCATTCTGCTTACCTCTTACCCGCATCCCTCACTGTCTTTTCCCCATACTTTCCCCCCTTTTCCCCCGTCGCCTGACTACACCAAGGTTGATAGCGGACTCGCTATGCTTCCCGAACAGCAGCGAAACAGCCGCGCGATCTCGCCGACAAGTAGCTGACCGTCTCGCAAACACCCGTGGCACACCGCCCAATGTTTTTCGCCAAGCTGCGGCGGACGATTATCTACGCTGAGCTTGCTTGCATCCTTTCCACCGCTTCCTGCCATCGCTACTGCACAATACAGTGTTTTCTGTCGGAACTAAAGGGTCGTTCACGCGCGGGGAGCTGCTCTTTCCCGTCCGCACGCCATATTATTTTTTTAGACCGGGGAAAGGGCTGGGGAGCTGCGCTAAGTTAGCGTAGGTGTCGGGTCTCCTACGTCTGAAAAGCAATAGCACACCTGGGGCTCACTTGAAATTCTACCTTGATGACGAGTGTTCGCATGGACTTTGTTTTGGTTGAGCCTTGCGACCCTCGAGATTGTCGCAGCGTGTTTGCCAAGGGAGTTACGACTGCATTGTTCTGTTAGCCAATGATTTGCGCGCTGCAAAATCGCAGCATTTGTTTTTTCGCGTCGGGGTAGGTGTACCATTGCAAATCGGGTTAATTTCTCTGACCCCCAAAATAATCAATTTTCAAGTGTGCCCCCCCTTTGCTATTCTAACCTGTGGTTTTAACCTCTGGATTCCGCTAATGGCCCCCACCATCACATACATTCGCCAGTCGCCACCCTGTTGAGCTCTCTGTGGCTCGGCTAGTAAGGCTTCTTCCGCGCTCCAAGCACCTTGATTGTCACCGCCCAGCTTTTGCGTACCCTAGCATGGCGCCAGACGCGCCAGCTCCGATCAATGTAATCATAAACGCGTCTCCGGGCATAGGTGGGTCGTTACCGGTGTCGTGAATCCTGATCTCGCACGGATGTGGTTACTCGATCCGGTACAGCAGGCTGTTTCGCTCCCTCCTCGACTCCGCCGCCGCTACTCGTCTTAGTAAATCATCGCAGCCAGGTTTCGTCTCCCTGCATACTGGAGAGTCAAATTAGTAGCGGCCTCAGATATTTAGTGGTCTCAGCGGATCTCCTTGGAACCTTCTCCTTCCCTCTGCTCTTCTCTCCGGCGATGTAGGGTTTCTGACGTATCAGCAGGTTCGGTTCGGAATCCCGGTTAGTTACGCCAGCTGGCGTCAACCTCTTCCCTCCCCCTCTTCTCTCCCTCCTCTCCACTTCCCCCACCCTCCTCCGCTTACCCTCCTCCCCGTCTCCGCTTCCCCTCCCCCCCGTCTCCGCTTCCCCTCCTCCCCGTATCCGCTTCCCCTCCTCCCCGTCTCCGCTTCCCCTCCTCCCCGTCTCCGCTTCCCCTCCTCCCCGTCACCTCTTCCCCTCCTCCCCGTCTCCGCTTCCCCTCCTCCCCGTCTCCTCTCCCCCTCCTCCCCGTCTCCTCTTCCCCGCCTCCCCTCTCCTTTCCCCCCTTCCCTTCGGCCGCCCAGACGACACTTTGGCGATTCTTGCAGCCTTGAAATGCCCGACAATCCGTGTGCTCGGCATTGCCACGTCATTCAGTCACTACGTGACGTGTGAAGCCGCCACGCGCAACGCTCGAGGCCTGGTGGGTTGCCTGTGCCGCCGCTGGAAAACAACCTCACTATAATCTGCCAATATGTGTTGAAGTATTTTTGGCTGTAGAAATTGTACTACGTAGCTCCAGTGCTGTTTTTATTCAATTATTTATTTGTGCATATATCTGTGACGTACATATCTTCTCTCTATTTCCACTTTCACTTGAACCCACCTTTTCGAACCACTGAGGTCGTGATTTGATTCTGGCAAAAGCGTCCTCAAACTTGGTTCCTTCCATCCTCTCTGCTGGTCCGTTTCCTGCCTGTATCGCTCCACACTACACACCCTCCCCCCTTCTTCCTCGCCCTCCCCTCTCCCTTTCCCCCTCTTCCTCCCCCTTTCCCTCTCTCCCTCCCCATCTCCCCCTCCTCCTCCCCCTCTCCCAGTGCATAGCAGCAGGTCGCCCAGACACTCCTGTTGTTCAGGGCGCCACAGCACCGCTTTCAACCGCTCCACATCCAGGTGTACGCCTACTTTTCCCTGCCCGCTGTCGCTTATGCCTTCACTTCCTCTGCTCTCCCCCCCCCCTCCCCTCCTCGCCTACCGTGTCGTCCCGTTCTTGCTCCCAACCCCCCCTTCCCTCCATTACCTGCACTGTCTTTGTCTTCCCCCCCAGGCAATCCCCATGCGCTTTCTCCCTCCCGTCTCCCCACCCTCCCGTCTCCCCACCCTCCAGTCTCCCCACCCTCCCGTCTTCCCACCCTCCAGCCAGTCTCCCCACCCTCCCGTCTTCCCACCCTCCAGTCTCCCCACCCTCCCGTCTTCCCACCCTCCAGTCTCCCCACCTTCCCGTCTCCCCACCCTCCCGTCTCCCCACCCTGTCTTGTTTCATTCGCTGCATCTATCTCCTCTGATAACCAGTTGTCTAGAAAAGTACCGCCACCACCTCCACCACTTTCGTCCCCATCCCGCCCATGCTCCAATTTTCCCCCTCCTCCTCCGCCCACCACCTCCCCCCGCGCCTTTTTCTCCCGCCTGCCCACTTTCCATTTTTTATTGGCAGCTAAACACCCCCGAGACCACTGCAACTGCCAGCAGCAGCAGCAGCACCCTTAACACTTCCTCCCTGCCCTCTCGCTCCTCGTTTCTGGGCCCGGACGGCCTGGCGGGAGTGCTGCTGCCTCCAGTATCCACAGAGAGTGGCCAAGGCGGCAAACCTGCACGTGGTATCACTGGCAGCCTAGCTTCTACCCATATCGCTGCTGCTAATGTCGGGGATGGAAGTGGGAGGGACGGTGGGGAGCAGCTGAATGCGCAGGAGGACAGTGCACAGAAGGGTGCGGAGGATAATGCACAGGAGGGGGCGGAGCAGAGAGCATGCGAGTGGGTGTGCGAGGAGGTGGCACGGAGACCAGGGCAGATCACCATCATGCAGCTCGGACCCATGACCAACCTCGCCCAGGCAAGTTATTTGCGCGCATAGTAACCATTCCCCCTTTGCACAGGAGGGTGCACAGCAGAGCTCACAGACGAGAAACGAGGGCAGGGTAGGTCACCATCATGCAGCTCGGACGGACCCATGACCAACCTCTCCCAGGCAAGTGCTTGCATAAATCCGTTCTCCTTTCACCCATACACGCCTATGACTCCCACATTTATATGCCCCCGTGCGTCCAGGCATCCACTTATCCATACATCCATACATCCATACATCCATACACCCATGCACCCCCACCCCCATCCCATCCCTCCGTCGTCTTTCTCCATCACCCACCAGGCCCTGTCTCTTCGTCCCTCCCTAGTCTCCGAGGTGGCGGCGATGAGGGTGGGCGAAATCGCAAGTGGCAGTGCCAAGTGCTGCTGTTGCGCCCCTCTCTCTCCCGCCTTATCGCACCCGCACATTTGTGCACCCACCAGGCCCTGTCTCTCCGCCCCTCCCTAGCCTCCGAGGTGGCTGCCATCTGGGTGGTAGGGGGGTCGTTCTTCGCCAGTGGGGATGTCAACGCTGCTGCGGAAGAGAGTGTGAGTGGGGGTGCAGGAGGTAAGGGGGCCACGGGGAAGGGGCAGGCAGACGGGATTCCCTGCGTAGCTCTCTCTTCGCCAGTGCCTCTCTCTTCGCCAGTAGCTCTCTCTTCGCCAGTAGCGATGTGAATATGGCTGTGTAAGAAAGCGTGAGTGTTGGGGGCTGGTGCGGGGAGTATGGGTTGCATGGGGGAGGGGGGAAGGGGAGAAGAGGGAACAGAGGAGGGGAGGGTCAATGGGTTGAGTCCATACAGGTGCGATTGCGAGGGTGGGTTTGGGAAGAGCAAGGGCGGAGTGGGGGAGAACCTCCACGGGGTTTGAGGTTCTTCAAAGAATGGTCTCTGCCTACAAATCCTGCTCTGCTCCAAATCAGAGCACAACTCATGCGCTCTGCTCGTCCTGCAGGTGTTTGCAGACCCCGAGGCAGTGGAGGTGCTAACCAGTGGAGCTAACATCCACTGGTGTTGAGCGCCTTAACGCTCTACTCCGCCCATCCATACTTGCCTCCCCCCTCTGCCCGCCTTGCAGGTGTTTGCAGACCCGGAGGCAGCGGATCAGGTGTTAACCAGTGGAGCTAACATCCATGTCTTAGGGCTCAACGTTACCACACGAGTTACACTCACAGGTGCTTAATGCGCATGCTACCATGATTGGTGCTACCCAGTGTTACGCTCGGCTGATTCTGCTAGAGCTGGCTTTCCTCTGCTCAACCTCTCTTCTTCTCGTCCCACCTGTCGCTCCCACACCCACCCAGCTGTTCTCTTCCACCCCCTCTACTTGAAAACCCTCTGTTGTCGGCTCGGTGAATTGGAGCCGAAGCTTTCTTGCATCGTGGGGCTTGATTTCCACGCACTGTGGAATGGCTTTTCGCTATTGGCAAGGTGTTCCTATCACGAGCTCCTTCTGCGTGTAGTGATTCACTGTACTGTACACGCACCCTCTCATCCCTCATCCTGCAGGGTCAGACCTTTCCTCTCTGTGCTCAGAGGTGGCGTCTCCAGCAGCACATGACGCCACGACTTCGCCTGCAGCAGCAGCAGCACCATCCCTAGTGGCACGGCTAGTGCAGGCATACGCCAGCCACCACAAGCAGTCAGATCACATGGATGGTGCGTGGGCTGGGCCCTTCTTCAACTTGATTCTTTTTTCAGTGCAACAATTGAAGCGCTCGGCCACGATAAGACAAACATTCTGAGCTCTGTCAATCGTGTATTGTTTGTCTTATAGTGGCAGCGCACTTCAAGAAGAGACTTTTTTTACGCACCTTTGTTTTCTTTCAACAACAAATTGTACAGGATCAATAAAAGCAAAGGCACGTCTTAATGACTTGGCTAATGGCTTTTCCCAGACCACTTTCCTCCATTTTCACCTCTCCCCATTGTACTCCTTCCAGGCATCTTCCTCCATGATGCGTGTGCAGTGGCAGCGATCCTAGACCCCTCATTGTTCTCCTTCAAGCCGGGCAGCGTGCGCGTGGAGACCACAGGAGTGGCCCGAGGGTGCACGCTCATGGACTACTCGCTGAAGAAGTGAGTTCACAGGTTGCTCATGTTCAAGGGGGGAAAGGGGGCGGAGGGGGGTGGGGGGGGTGCTCGTTATTTACTTTGTAAAGAAGTGAGTTCACAACGTGTTCTCATTCAAGCCGGAAAGTGTGCAAGTGGAGACCACAGGGGTGGGCCGGGGGTGCACGCTCATGGACAATTCTTTGACAAAGTGCGTTGGAGGGTTGTTCTCCTTCAGAGCTGCAGGATTATATCGTAACTAGGCAGGGGTTGGTGGGGAATGTACGTTGATGGGTAACTCGTTGATAAAAGCCCTGAGTCCCAAGATGCAGGGACCCTCCAAGTCTCAGAGGGTTGAAGGGTGGTAGGTGAGAGCATGGCGAATGGGTGCTTGTTGGAATAGAATTGGGAGACTTGGTGAGCACCGGGCTGCTCTTGATGGGGTGTCGCACTTCCCCTCTCCATCACTGCACCTGCTCACTTTCGTCCCGTACATTTCCAGTGCCTTGCACATATTCCCTTCCCCCCCCCATCAGTTGGAACGGCCCCAACCCGTGGGTGGGAGTGCCGCCAGTGCACGTGGCCATGGCAGTCGATACTGCTAAGGTGGCTGCCACAATCACTCAGCTCCTGGCTGCTGTCAGATGATGTCAGGAGGACCCAGGGCTGCTCGCGTGGCACATGGCCAGATGGGCACAGGGGAGTGCCACATGGGAGTGCCGCGTGTGCATGTCGCCATGGCTATCGATGCCGCAAACGTGACAGCCACAACTACTGTAATCCCCCGGATATAACACCCGCCGAAATTAAGCACCCACTGGAGTTATATCCGGGGAGGGTGTTCTATTGAAGAATCCGCAATTATACACCCTCTTTTTGAGGGTTCCAGGAGAGCACCCCCCCTTACCATTTTAGCCCTTCTAAGCCTTGCAACTCCTGGAACAAATACCGATTTTTCATGCGATTTCATGGTAAGCACGACCATTACGCAAAAGTTCAATTTTACCGAGGCGCGCAGGGGGATTCTCCGGTACTGAAAATGACGGGGTGAAACAAATCATTACCTGGAAAAGCGCAGTGGGCAGGCCTGTCGTTATCAGGGTATTTTACCCTGATTCCCTGATTTCACAGGGTATTTTTTCGGCCAACCCTTAATTTTCAGGGTTGGACTTTTCTCAACCCTAGCCCCTTCAGGGTTGTAAGTTTCTGAACACTTGGGATTTCAGGGATTGCGTTATGCCAATACTGAGTTTTCAGGGAGCAACGCGTACGAACCCTGAGTGCGACATCCATGTGCCTCACAGCCCTGAAATTTCGGCGAAGTCCCCAATCTCAAGAAACATTACCCCCACACGCACAGCTGTCAATTGTAACTTAGGTCGTTACTGTAGACTATACTGTAGACACAATCCAGTATAGTCTGCAGTAACGACCTAAGTTACATTTGACACCATCACCCTCATAAAAAAAAATCGCAGATTCATCAGTGTTGCATAGGCAAAGCTCGCCTTTCCAATAGGAACCTGTACAGAAAAAAAAAAAAAAAAAAAAAAAAAAAAAAAACGCTGATTTGGCGAACAAGCAGAGAAGCCTTTCATTTTTTTGGTGTTTTGTTTCAGCTCGATTCGAAATTCGACAGCTGACGTTATCAGGGTATTTTACAAGGGTACTACATATAATGGCCAATCATGTCAAAGATTCTGCCACTAGTCAGGGGAGAGACAACTGTTTTTTTCTAGCAGCATTGGTTCTTTTCAGAGTTTCCCCCAGGCCTCCAGTTCCCCCAAAAAATCCACCACACTTTGACGGTCACAATCGAACGCGATCGTTTCAACATTTCTCAGCTCTTCATCGTTGGTCAATCATTAACGGCTCAGATTTGCGTGACCTGACACCACCTGCTGACACGTCTCCAGCAATCGAATGTTCTTCCAGAGACTGTACACCAGGGCCTGAGCTAGTTTTTTTGCCGAATGTACACCAGGGCAGCTCCCGAATGTAACGGGCTTTGAGAGGTGTGGGGTGAGATTTGGGGGAGGGATTTGGGGAGGGTGGCGAGTTTGGGCGGGGGCAAATGTTGAGGCCATAAAAACATGGGATTTGAAGTGTTTGGTGGGAATTCAAATTTCAGGAAATTCTCGACCGGTCTTCTGAATTCGACCCTGATTGTGTTTTGTGAACCCTGGGAATTTCAGGGTTTCGGGTTCTTGAACACTGACAGATCAGGGTAAGGATTTTTCTGAAACAAAGCCCTCAGGTATTTTTTTTTCTAGTCGACAGCTCAGGGCGGTTTTTTTTAAAACGTCAGCCCTGGCAGTGGGTCGACAAATTTCGTTTCGTTTGCGCAAGACTTGTTCTGACTGGTTGACGAGCCTCGCAATTTTCGCCTAACCTATTGCGAGAGTCGCCAACCCCCCAATCTCGCTTCTCCAATTTGACACACTCTTGATATTCGGGAGCAAGTGGTTGATCAGGGGGTATTCCTGTCAACTTATACATATGTTAGCATGTACAAGTTATAGGCTAGATAGGTGTATGTTCTTAGAAAGTACAACTCCAACCCTATATTTCCCTTGTTCACCCTTGTTTCTAATTATTATAGTATTCTAACATGGTATCAGAGCAGGTTAGGTTCCCCCCCACCCGCTTCCGCCCCGCGCCCTAGCCTACCGCGCCTCGCCGGTCTCTATCACGACCACCCGGCCCCTCTAGAGACGTAGCTGGCCCCTCGCGCCTAGCCAGCCCCTTCGTGCCCAGCTAGCCCCTTCGCGCGTAGCCGGCCCCTATCGCGCCTAGCCGGCCCCTTTGCGCTGTAGCTGGCCACTCGCGCCTATCTGGCTCCATGCGCCATCGCCAGCCCCTCGCACCGTCGCTGGCCCCTCGCGCCCTAGCCGGCCCTTCGCGCCGCCGCTGACCTCTCGCGCCCAACCGGCCCCTCGCGCCTAGCTGCCACCCCTCGCGCCCTAGCCGGCCCCTCGCGCCGTCCCCGGCCCCTCGCGCCCTAGCCGGCCCCTCACGCCGTCGCCGGCCCCTCGCACCGTAGCTGGCCCCTCGCGCCCTAGCTGGCTCCTCGCGCCGTCGCCAGCCCCTCGTGCCTAGCCGGCCCCTCGCGCCCAGCCGGCTCCTCACGCCCAGCCAGCCCCGTGCGCCCAGACGACCCCCCGTGCACTAGCCGGCCCCTAGCGCCCTCGCCGGCCCCTCGCGCCCTAGTCGGCCCCTCGCGCCCAGCCGCCCCCTCGAGCCTAGCCGGCCCCTTCTCGTGCCGCCGCCGGTCCCTCTATCGCCTAGCCGGCCCCTACCGCCTGTTCGGCCACCCCTTGTGCGCCCTCCGGCTCCTCGCGCGCCCGGTCCCTGTTCCGGAGAGTCCTGCCGCCACGTCGCTGTCTCGCCGTGCAGCTGAGTAACTGTGTCCCTGTGCCGCTGCGCTGCTGTGTCCCGGTGCCGCTGAGGTTTTGCGATGGCGGACGCCATGCTACATCTGGACGTGGAGGGGCACGCGATCGACTTCGCCGCCTGGCTTGTCGATCTTTGCCGGCACCTGACAGGTCAGCGCCAAGATGGGCACTCCCTGGCTATGCATGTTGATGACTTGCTTCCCCGCCCCTCCGCGCCTGATCCCCTCCCTGCTGATCCCACCACTGCTGAGAGTGAGGCATTTGCTGCTGCTGCGCTCGCTCGCACTGTCTGGGATTCTCGCGATGTTGTAGCGCAGCTTGCCATTAGTCATGCGCTTCCCCTACATGAGCGTCCCCGCTTCACTGCTATAGCAAACGTCAAAGACTTCCTAGATGCAGTAATTGCACACTACTCCGCGCATGCCTCCGCCTCAGCTGGACGCTTGATCCTCCCCATGCTCGTCCTTAATCTCTCTGCTTTCTCCACTGTCGCTGATCTCGCCACTCACCTCCGTGAACTAGAGACTAGCTATCGCGCTGGTAGCACTACTGCCAAGCTCACTGCCTTCCCCCTGCCATTCTGCACTACCCAGTACCTTATTGCCATGCGCCTGCCTGACCGCTTAGGCACTGCCCGCGACCACTTCCTTAGCCAGCACCCTGGTGACCTCACCCTGATCGCTTTTGTCGCTGCCCTTTTCGCCAGCACACTATCGCTCAGTCGAGCGGTGTTGCGGCAGTCCCTATCTTTCAGGGCTATGCTCCTTCCCAGTGCACGTACGCTGACGTTTTTGCTGCGGTCGCTACTGCTGCTCCTGCCGATGAGACCGCAGCGGCGGCCTTCCCCCAGCAGCAGCGACAACGTCGGGGCCATCGCGGCCCCAAGGGAGGGCGTGGTGGTGGTGGCGGCGACAGTGGTTCTGACGAGGGAGCTGGGGCAGGCGTCCAGGAGCAGCAGCAGCAGCAGTAGCAGCCGCAGCAGCCTTGGGCCCGCCTCCCGCCGAGGAGGCCGAGAGCCCCTAGAGGGGGTGGCCAAGGTGGCGTTCCTCGCATCTCGGCATCTACCGGCGGCTTCGGTACTGTGGGCTGCCAGTACCTGCTCCAGACCGGACCCCTTCGTGGCACTGTGTGCCGCCGTCCGCACCCGATCTCCCGCTGGTTCTGCCGCCTTGACGACCTCGTTCGTCGCCGCTTCGGCCCGGCCCCGAACCTCCCTGAGTGGCCCAATCTGCTGCGCCACGGTGTGCCTGTTTTTGACCTAAACATGGATCAGATTAGTTCTGCCTTGCATTCTCAGTATGCTGACACTTCTAGTGTGTCCAGATCTTATTACCTTGTGTTCTCTAGCTTAGGCGTAGCACCTGTGTGTAGTACAGAGACCCCTGCTGCGTCAGGCGTAAGATCGTTTGCTTTGTCGAGTCTAGGCTCCACACTCGCTCCTCCTTCGTCTGCCGCTACTGCTTCGCTGTCCTTCACACTTGACTCTGGTGCGTCTGCCTGCTTCTTCCGCGACCACGCTGTGCTTACGCCACTTGCCACGCCTGCCGTTGTCGCACTTGCTGACCCCACCTCTGGTACTGTACTTGCTCGCAGCTACACTATCCTTCCCAGTCCAGCAGTCCCCTCGGGTTCCGTTACAGGCCTGCACATCATCTCGTTCTCCCGGAACTTAGTCGGTGTTGGTTGTCTTCAGGACCTCGGTGTCACCACTACGTTCCCAGGTCACAAGCGGTGCGTTGTCTGTACCAAGGCCGCTTCAGGTTTCCCCCTTGCGACGTTCCCTCGAGACCCGGTGTCTGGCCTCTTCATGCTGGACACTGCTTCCCCCTCGGGTGGGGCGTCCTCCCCGGGTCCTGCGTCTACCCAGGTCACAGCTACGTGCTCGTGTCGGTAGCTCACTCACCCGTCGCTACTGTGGCACCACCGCCTAGGTCACCCCGCGCTCCCGCGTCTACGTCACATGTCCCAGCACGGTCTCGTCCTAGGTCTCCCTGTGTCGCTTCCTGCCCTCCCTCCCTCGCCAGCGCCGCCGTGCACGCCCTATGTCGAGGGCCGTCTCCGCCGTGCTCTTCACTCCTCGTCGCTTCGTCCTGCCACCGCACCCCTCCAGACCCTGCACCTGGACATCTGGGGACCAGCCCCCGTCCCTGGACCGCGTCGCGAACGCTACTTTCTAGTGCTCGTTGACGACTACACGCGCTTCACCACGGTGTTTCCCTTGGAGCGGAAGGCCAACGTGCCCGACGTTCTTAGTCGTAGCTGCGCGCCTCCACCGCGGTCTCCCTGTGCTGTGTCTCCACTCCAACCGTGGCGGCGAGTTCGCCACTGGTCGGCTTGGACAGTTCTGTCGTGCAGAGGGCATCACCAAGTTGTACACCCTAACGGGCTCCCCGCAGCAGAATGGGGTCGCTGAGCGACGCATCGGCTTGATTATGGAGGTGGCTCGTACCTCCATGATTCATGCTGGTGCACCCCATTATCTGTGGTCGTTCGCCATCCGCTACGCCGCTCACCAACTTAACCTCTGGCCGCGATCCCATCGGCCGTAGGTTTCGCCGACCCTACTTTGGACCGGGTTCCCTGGTGACGCATCCACGTTCCATGTCAAGGGCTGCCTCACTCACGTTTGTGCCTCTGGCACAGGCAAGCTCACTGCCCGCACTGTCCCCTGTGTCT